CCTGACCAAAGGAGTCATAAAAGCTTGCTATTAAGAACAATGATTTCATCTCCATTTCTTGTCTTCCATTCAAACTTACCTATGCAATTCCTGGGAAACATTATCCAAACTTTGTAACCAAGGTAAATAAAACCTCTAACCTTTTATCAAAACAGAACATTCATTCATTCATTCATTCATTCATTCATTCATTCATTTTCTGCAACCACCATTGCTGAAAATATTTCAGTTAGACAAACTACAAATAGATTGAAACAAAATGATTGGCTTCTGGGGAAGATGGCTGACTGAAGACGGTTCCGCAAAAAAGTGGAGCCAAAGCTTGCAGACATTTTTATGGAGCTGGATAGCAGATCAGTTCCTTTGATTCTCTCTGGATAAAAGAGAGAGACATGAGCTTGCCCAAGCTGTGTTTCCTTATGGTAGTTCCTCTTCCTCACGAAGAGACTGCAAGACAGTGAACTTTGCTGAGATGGGGGAATTTGCCATAATTGCTCCAGCCGCAAACAGAGTCTTTCAAAGGACACTAAGTTCATGCACTTCCCTTGCTAACTATTTTCAGAAATTGCTTACTAACTGCTTCAATGAAGTTAGACAACTTCAAAGGGACAAGGCTGCATATACCCAGTGTGTGAGTACCTTCAAACCTTAATACAAGAAAAATGAAGATTTATTTTTATAACTTTTAAGAATTTAAAATAAACAGCAAAAAGCAAGACAAGATTCTGGCTACAGAAAATTTTAAAAAGATTAAGAGCTCAGAAAACAATTTACTTTTGAATATTAAGACTTTGAAATTATTTTTAAAGAATAAATGTATGTTTGTGGGAAATAAATTATCATGGTGTTTAGAGATATCTTTGAGGAACTCCACTGAGGACTGCGATGTCTAACATATCTATCCTTTCAAATACATCCTTTAGGGAGTCCAATGCATCCTAAATACAATTTTTCCATGAATCATCTTTAATCTTAGATCTGTAGATACCATTTTAACATTTTTAAAGACATGAATCCATTGATGGGGCATTATTGGTGATTCCAGTTCTTAGTCCATGTTTAAAATACTCAAGAAATATCCACTTTAAAAATATTATTGACCTTTTGATAGATATATGTTATAGGTTAATATTTCATAACATACATCACAGCTAGTCTTTGCTTAACAACTGTTCATTTAGCGACTGTTCGAAGTTAAGACAGTGCTAAAAAATGCTACTTATGACTGGTGCCCAAAGTTATGGCCATTGCAGCACCCCTGCAGTCACATGATCATGATCTGGGCACTTGGCAACTAGCTTGCACTTATCACGGTTGCAGTGTCCCAGAGTCACACGATTGCCATTTGCGACCTTCCCAGCTGGCTTCTGGTAAGCAAAATCAATGGGGAACCACATGATTCACTTAATGACTGTGGTGATTCACTTAATGACTGCCACAAAAGAGGTCGTAAAATTGGGTCCTGTCACATGATGATTTGCTTAACAACTGCATCGCTTACCAATCTAAATTCTGGTCCCAATTGCGGTTGTTAAGTGAGGACTACCTGTAGTGATATTTTTACTATACTTTCTAAGTTGCCCACTGTCATTAAAGGAATAGGTAGCACACAAATTTTCAAAATAAAAAAATATATAAATCAATAAAATGTTACCATTTCCAAAGAACTGGAGTTGTTGCTGATCACACTCTCACAGCTGCCTGCACTGTCAACAATTGGTGTGGGATCTGGCTCAGCTATCCCTACCCATAAATCCTTTTTAGGCATATCAAGTTAGATAAGAGAGCAATCCATATGATTCAAGAGCTCTGGAATAGAAAGAAAACAAAATCATAAATTTTCTACAATTTCAAAACATATTCAGGACAAGGTTAAGAAATATTTAAATGCTTTATTTTTTACAACAATTTTGATTTTTGGATAACTTTTTTTCAAGAATACTTACTGAATATATTTATGTAATGCCTGTTTTTTTTTTCTTGCAGCCACTCATGACTATATATACAACAGTGCCCAAATTCACACCACTGAAATTCTCTGAAATTATGGGTATCTTCACTTCATCATGATTATATAATTAATTATCACTTCCTTAACTTGAAAGCACTTACTCCTACATTGTGTTGAAGGTGATTATGCACCATAAAATTAGTGTCCACTCTTAGCAACCACACAGATAGACCTTCTCCAGGATGATCTATCCCTAACCTGGTCCTTCATGTTTTCCAATCACCGCTGTAATCAAATCCACCCACTTTTCTGCTAGTCATCTTCTTCACTTTCCTTCCACCTTTCCCAAAATTATAGATTTCTCAAGAGAGCTAGGCCTTCACATTATGTGTTCAAAATATGACAATTTGAGCTCTGTCATTTGTGCCTCAAGTGAAAACTCTGAATTGATTTGTTCTCTGATCCATTTGATTGTTTTCTTGCCTATCTGTGGTATTCTTAGAAGTCATCCAACAACAAAGTACAAAGACATTAATACTCTTTCTATCCAGCTTCTTCAAAGCCCAACTTTTGCTTCCATAGAGCATCACAGGGAAAACCATGGCTTGTACGATTCTGATATTTCTAGGTCACAGCATCTGAACATCTTTCCAAAGCTTCACTGCTATCAAGTGCTAGTCTGGAGTGTATTTCTTGATTTTTAGTTCCTTTACTGTTGATAATCAATCCTAAAAGGCAGAAGTTATCCACCACCTCAATATCTCCATTCTCAAATGTTGAAGATATTTGCAAAATAACCTAAGCATTATTTTTTACAATGGTGCTATTAGATGTAATACTGCCCTGTGAAGTCAGATATGAAGGTTAGAAAGCAGCAGTATGATAACATGCACCCAATAATTGTAAGCCTATTTCTTTGATAAAAGCAGTTTATCAGATATATTACATATTTCCTCACAGGTACATTTTTAAGCATTTCATTCTCTGAGTTTGAACACCACTCTACAAAATGACATATAAATGTATGGCAACTCCATTCTTGTCATTGCTAAATTATAAGTCACCTGGAGAAATTGAGACATCATCAAATCATAGAAGGCAGTAGCTTACTCTTTCATGCACTCTACTCTGGCTCTTTTTTCTCCAACATATTCTCTGATTCTAGCAATATTTGGAAATACCATATTAAAGTTTATTATATCTCCCTGGTGCAGTTTCAGTGTCTGGGAATGGTTTCAGTTCAGAAACAAGTCAGGCACAGAAGACATAATTTCCTTTGGACTGTTGAGGAAGATCCACATGAAACTGCCTCACCAGAAATCTTTGAAGCAAGTTTTACTTTTTAACATACTACTGGATATAATCAGAATCTGCATCTGCAACAGCTACAAAGAGAGAGAGGGGGAGATTTTAGTAGTCTCTGTCAAAACAGAAGATCTAGTCATTCAAAAGCCATCAACCAGGACCAATATTCCAAACTATCCATTAGCTGTTCCAAACCTGGTGCTCTGAAAATTGTAAACCATTTCCCAAAATTTCCAACAGGCATGACCAGTTCCTTATCTTTTTATGAACAGTTAGCCATGCTTCCTGAGAATTATGTCCAAAGAGTACCAGGTTAATGAATACTGCTATAGACTCTGACCCAATTTAGTTGCTGTAAAGATAAAGTTTCCAAGGAGAGCTCAACCATGGGGACTTCATGAGCATGCCTATGCAGTTTTCTTGGAAAAACCATGGAAGCAATTCTTCCAAGCTATTTCATGATTTCCAAGTCCAGCTTACAGCCCTGGTATTTGCTGGTGGTCTCCCAACCAAGTAATAACCAGATTTGACTCTGCTTAGCCTCTGAGTCCAGGGTCAGTCAGGTGCTGCCACCTGCTAAGGCTTAATCAGTACAGTGAAAATCTTTAATTATTTTTTACTTCTCCAAGACAACTGAATGGGAAAAATGTATAAGAGAAGCACATTTTATTTTGCTTTGTGAAGACAATGTGTTTTTCCCCACATAAAACCATAGGCAAGGAACACAAGAGTGGCCTCTCAAAAGACTTTCTTGCTTTATTAAATAATAGTTTTAATACCTATTAGCTAACAATACTGAAGAAATGAAGATTAGCATTAAATAATTCAAAGTTGTCAGCAGTCATAGGTAATGTATCTATTTACTTAGGGTAGAGGCCAGGGTGTGTGTTTACCTGGCACATACCTGACATTCCTTAGAGAATGGAGAATGCCTTAAAGAGACAGGGACAGACACAATGCAATCACTTTTAACAACAGAAACCTTTTAAACTGGGGTCATTAGATAGCTCCATCCTCCTACTGTGAATAGCATGTAATTTTTCTTGGAGGAAAGAGGTGTCATCTCAAGCACTACTATGACCCTTTCATGTCTCCACTGAATTCTCTAACCTCTTTGCTATTCTGTCCTGCTATTCAAGCACAGAAATCCAGTCTTTGGGCATTCTGACTGCTCTACTTAAAATGTTGCTGGTCTTGTTGAATATGTAGAAATATTCCAAAATGAACAGATTTGAATCTTAACCTAAGAGTCATAATAATGTCAATATCATAATTTTGTTGCCTTAGCTTAAGCAATTAATGGCATTGTAAAGAATAGCTTCTATCTGGGAGCTTTCCTACCACTCCCTTCCGAAGCTTTGTTAAATACATCAGGCCATACTACCTTATGATGGTGTGGTCACAAGCTTTATTACCAGTAAGTCATGTTTATAGCTCCACCCCATGCTTATGTCACATTCTGTAAATTATTCCCACAAGAGATGAGAAGACTACTCTTCTTACATATATAACTAATATTTAACCTCAGCAGTACTGACCTGTATCTAATACAGTGATGTTGGTTCTGCCAGAGGGTGTGTCCATTCAATATACAAAAAGTAACTCAACCATATCATCACTCCAGTGAATTGTCTTACACAGTAAAGAGGAAAGCATTCAGATTACAGGATTTTGGAGGCTATGTGCTGATTCTAGTATTTAATTTTCACATACAGTACAATACAGTAGCAAAACTCTGAGGAAGGCTGAATGGCTCAATCTAGTTGCCATTCTAAATTTCCCATAAGGTCCTAGAAGATGGTAAGCCCGGCACCAGCATGGAAAAATGTATACAAGAGAGCACAGGTTAAGTCCCAATAGAAAACCATGTCAAGGTCTTGGCAGCTATTAAAAGCTGCTAAATACCTGCCAGTCCTGATTTACAAGTGGCTGTCTAGGTCCAGGTTCAACACAGCATCTTTATCAACATTAATCCCAATTCCTGTTGTCATAGACAGACAGCTGTCCAATCAAGTTATTTGTCTTGTGCTACAATATTCAATACTTATAACAGAGAAGTTGGGTAACACACTTTTCCATCAGTGTTGTTCTCTAATGTAGGAAAAAACCAGACACAGATCATTTAGAATTAGAGTTGAGTGCATCAACCTTAACATTAGTTCAGATTGATTTGGAGCCCACCCACCCTCATATTAACTTTAGTTCAGAAATCCAGATCTCTGTGCCTCCTGCCCTGTTGAGTATAATTGGGAATCAACAAATGGCTTTAACTGTGTTTTTGTTTCAGAGAACAGAATGAAATCTCAAGAATTATAGTTACGTAATGTGCCATATTTTTTTTTTAAAAGGTACAGGGTTTTTGTGTTAGGCATCTTCAAAATATGTGGGTGTAGATTTTTTGTTTTGTTTTGTTTTTTAATTCAGTTTAGGCACCGGCCAACTCCAAATCAACTCTGGGTCCCTCACAATATAATAAACAATAAAAACATAATACAGAACAAGATGGGATCCTGTCACTCTGTACAAAAACATAGACAAAAAGGTGCATCCAACTTCCATTTTTCGTTAATAAAAGAACTACCAATAACATTTTTATTTCATGCAGGAATTACAGCTGTTGTACAATTTGGGGACCTCCTCAAAAGGAGATTTATTCCTATCCTATTGGGGTAGGGTAAAATTGTTATGAAAATTACATATGGTACATCCCTAGTTCTAACCATATCAAGGGGAAGAGGCCCAGCATAGGGATTATAATGGGGGGAAAAAACTGTTTAAGGCTGTTGTGTGTTTTTCTGAACTGGCACCAAATCAACAAAGTGCAATAGATAGAAGGTAGAACATCTAATGGTACAAGGATATGAACAAGCAACATTTTTCATATACACACCCAACATTCCACCTTTCAAGCACCCACAGACTCCACCAAACTTTTTAAGTATTTCTGCTTCTGGGAATGATAATTAATAAACATTGAGCCATGCTATACTACATTAGTTCAACATCACTTCCCATAGCATTTTGCTTGGAAACCCATTTAAAACCATTTCCATTTGAAATACCCTGCATTTCAAGATTTTAAACTTCAGTACACTGAAAACTTGAGATATCCATCAATTTTTGTAGATCTGTGCTGTCTCATGATCCTTCTTTGATGATTCAGAATCACAAGTCAAAAAGACCTTTGTAATATTCAGGAGCAAATTTCAATGTTTGCATTTATTTATGGATGATTTATGAACACCTTACATTTACCTTAATGTAATACAAAATGATGACTCTCATAATTGAATATTCTCTATCTTGATCACAGGTGATACACAATAATATCATTAACTAGAAGGAAGGAAGCAGAGATGACTTGGTAGATTTACAAAGACTTTGTGTTAGGAGTTGTTCCAAAATAATACCCTATGCAAAACCCAAGAGATTCTCATCACAAGGGTATAATTACAATGAATTTGATCTGTAAAGCAGTCATCTCATATTTAAAACTCTAAATATATAATGGTAAAGCTCTTGAAATTCATCCTAGGGGACTGTGGGTTTTTTTCCTCTCTAGAATCTTTCCTCAAACTCTCAAGGAGGCATGACAGGAGTCAGGCTGGGTAGCATTGGAGACTGAAAGCTTCCAGCCATCCATCACACTTCTATATGGAACAAACAATTTGACAAGTTACAGAGTTGGCCTAAATGCTTTCCCACTATGTAGTGGGAACAAGTTATTCTGTAATGAGCATGGGGGTGATGACTACTAAGAGCCTCTTTCCACCACGTTAACCAGGCCAGCAAAGAGATCCTCTCTTCGTTATTGTGGCTTAAGCACTTCCTGGCATAGTCCTTGTTTACTTAAGAACGCTTTTGGCCTCCTTTCCTTTATTGTATTTATCAGATATTCAGTTTCAGTGCACAAGTTCAGAAGAACTTTTTAATATATATAGACCAGTATTGCTGCAGGGTCTTGATGCAGAATGCTTTCTTGCACTCCATTAAATTTATGGCAACTGGTTCCTAGAGCTGATTGGAAAGATAGACCTTCTTTATCATTTATTGTAAAAATCTCCTTCTAATGCACATACAACCACAAGTAAGACACAGATAGAGCACCCTAGTGGTGCAGCACCTTCGCAAAGGATGAATGAATACAACAGTATAAAACGAGCTCTAACCTTCCTTTACCAGAGCTTAGTTTAAAAAAAATTTTTTTTTAATAAGATACAGCAGAGAAAGGAAGAAGAAAAGAAGCAACCAAGTATAATTTTCCCCCTGAAATAGCCATGGTGCATGTTTGCACACATACTTGGAACTCAGGATCTTAAATTGGCTTGCCTCATTTTATTTTTCTCTGCAATGGGGTTTGTGTCATTCAGTTGCCAGAATAAAAATATTTGCATCCAAATAATGCTTTTGAATCTGTGGATCACCCAAGTCTGCATTTTTAGTGCCATGCACAGTTGCTGTGGATCCAAACTGCTTTGTGTGCTGGGTTGTTCTGTCTCCCAAAAAGATTTGATTTGCTCCAAATATCAACAACGCTAAACACCTTCTTTCAAAACTGAGTTTTACTGAGAGGTCAAATTCCAATGTCTGAACAAGCTATGCTTAAGAAAAAATTTGGGTTCAAATTCCCTTTTTTAAGAACAGTGAAACTCAAAGGTTAAGGTAGCAGGCTGTAAGGTGTAACAGGCCACACCCTTATTTTCAATGCACTGAACATACTGTGACTATACTTAACTTTAATGGACTCTTAGTGTGACACTATTCCACTGCTTAATTAAATACATGCCACTTCACTGAACTGCTTAAAGTTCCTTAGGATTTTTCAAGAGAAGAAAGGGGAGAGATACCTACTGTAGATTTAGCTGGCTCCTAGTGTGACCCCTTTACTCTGAGTATTTGCTCCTCTCTACCTTATCAGACCCTGAATGGGAGAGATTATTTCTCCAGAAAAAAAAGGGAGGGTGAATGTAATATCGTTCCTTCAGGCTCCCACCCCAACAGGTCCTTACCAGCAGGGTATTTGGAGAGGTCAGACAATTTGCTATCATAGTGCTATAACCAGTTAATAGCATTGCTCTATCCAAACAGAAATATGGCTTAGAAAAGAGTTTGATCGTTTGATTGCAATTTTCTCTAACTTGCACAAGACATGACATTATTACTGTGTGGTGGCAATGTTATGAAAATCAGTTTCACTTGTAAAGGAATTTGAACAGCACAGAACTCTAAGAGTTAACAAAAATAGTTATTTATAACTCTAAAATCAGGTATATTAAATATTAACTAATATCCTTGAATACTTTGTCTCAGATTATCAAACTGTGAACACAGGGCACAGCTCTAATTTTTTTTCTGGGTACATATTTGAGGAAATGAAACTAGGTGTGCCCACACTTAAGATATCAACAATACATACGTGAGCTAACAGAACGAGGGAAGTGTTATCAGTTCTTCTCATGTGACCTTCATACATGGGATAACATTTTTAAATCAGTGAATTGTAAAGCAGAACCATAGAAGACATATCATATCACACTGAGAAACTCCTGCCAGTCATGGAACTCTCTCTTATCCTCCATGCCATTTTATTTTAACATAAGACATTTGCAGGGTTGCCTTTTAAGTAAATTTGCTTTTAATTGTTGTGCAGCTATACATTAAAACTTTTATAATTTGCATTACCTTATTTTACAGCAAATCATTTTATTGCAGATTTTTAAACAAATTGCTTTATTATTAATGGCTCAGTATCCTACAGAATGTCACATTAGTAATGTAGAAAAAGAACAATAAAATAATCACCAAAAGATTTCATAAATATATTCACTATCTCTAGTGAAACTAAATGCAAGCTTAAATATATAATTGGAGAAATAGATTTTAATTGTAGACTATAAGATGGCAGTAAATGTGGCAGATGTCCTCATATTTTCATTTCTTTATTTGCCATTCAGTTTAATTTGAATGCTTATATCCTGTCTTTCCTTGAAGATATCCCTGAACATTTAAATCTATGTTTCTATACTTCCTAGTGAAATATCAACCTTATCACTGCACTGGCTCACCAACTGTACTGAAATTTAAGCAAATTAAAGAAAAAATTTACCCACAATTTAAATTATCAAAATTCTTTCAAAGGAAGTTGGAAGTTCATACGAGTTCATATAAGCCTTGTTCCTCCAATAATGGTTTCTAATAATTAGCTAAGCAAATCATTCATAGACCTGCCTTATTTCTGACCCACCCAAATGAACAGCAGCTTGATATCACTCTTATTTTTCTTGTGTGTTAAAAAAATTAAAAAGTTGTCAATCCAAGTTACAAAGGCTACATTCAGCTCATTCTGCTGTAAGTTGTAGAAGCCTATTTTACCATCAGCTACCCATCTGCTATACTTCTCAATAGTTTGAGTTATTATTATGAAGTCAGCACCTCTCAATTACATTGTTGTGGTTATACGTAGTCTCTAATAATGCAACATCTGAGGGCCTGAAATATCTCATTTTGCTAGAATTTGGCATGCAACGAGACAAACACCAAGAATCCTCCTATATTGTATTGTATAGTCCACTTAAAGTCCCGTGTAGTCTCTCAGAATACCTTCTGCACTGAATTTCAGTGGCATGGTTTCTCGCTATTTGGAGGCCCAAAATACACATACGTTCTAAAAGATGCTGAACAACCGTTAAAAATATAATTTCCAAAATACTCAAAAAATGGTAAATCCTGTGCAACTCTGCCCACTTGCATCATTTCCCTTCTCACTGCAATACCTACTGAATAAAGGTTTGCCTATTCCTGAAACAGAATGAGTGCTGAGGATAGACTTTTGAATGCATCTACGTGGCTTAATTCTATTTCAATTTCATGTTTACTGAACCACCTCAGAACAAGACAGAATTCCAACAAGTATGCACAAGTCTTTTGACCCTACGTGCACAAAAGACACGTCTCTAATCATCACCCAATAACAGCTGCATATCTGCACAATCTCAACTATCCGATATCTAATTAAAATCATTCACAGTTCCACTTGTTTAACTACATTCAGCTAATAAATTGTAAATCTCCTCCCTCATGCCATGTTAAAAATAAATTCAGTCAAATCTCTTCTAATTACAGCTGAGTTAAAATAACCTGTTTCCTATTGCTGATACAACGAATAGCTACTTTATAGCGAAAAAGCATTTCTACTCAGTTCCATCTTTCAGTGTTTTTAAACTAATACCTGTTCTTATTATTACAGAAGTAGATTTTCATTGTTCTGTAATTTTGTATAGTAAGCATAAGAAATTCTTAGTTATTCTGTAGTTCTAGAGCCTGGAATCGGCTTAATGCAATAAGATCAGCATTATCTTTAGTTTCTGTATATCAAAGTTTGTACTGGGTATGACTTACTTTCATAAGGAGAAGTTAGCCTTTCCACAACCATTTAGTAGCAACTCAAAGGTATAAGTGAGAATAAAACCAAGAAAGAAAGAACAAATAAATCCAGTAATGCTCCTTATCCTTTTAAGCAAACATAGTTTAGTTAGAGTTTAACTCACCTTCACTAGGAAATGAAAACAATTCCACGTACTCTGCTATGCACTAACACATCAAACAGGCTATACCACCTCCTCTGTTCTCTTCTTGACCTCCCACTGACTTACCTAGACAGGTAAATTCCTCCTTTGTCTTTCTTCTCTCCACCCTGAAGCTGACTCCTCCCCTAAGCTCTTCATTCCAGCTGTTCCCTAAAGGAAGGGGAGGCGGGATTACAGAGTTCTTGGCTAACCACATGTTTTTTTGCTTTTCTAAACAGTAGCACCCAGAAATTAAGCAAAACAGGTAAACATTTTGTAAAAACTGAGTGTTATTAAGGTTAAGTGATTTTGTAGTTAAAATCTTGCTTAGGGCTGATTATCCTCCAGCAAGTAGTGGGAAATGCAGGAAAATGGGGATCCCCCCCCCCCCCAGTTTTGGGAACAAGGGGCAGAACAAAAAGGAAACCATGCAAGGTTTAATCTATATACAGTCATGATAAAATCCACTAAAATCAATGTATATTATATTAATCATAACTTAAGTTCCATTGATGTCAGTAGATCTAAGCTAGGAATAATTGTATATGGATTCAGTCTTAATTACCTAGCACAGGAAGATGGGAAAATTGCAAGTAATTGTATTCATATCTGTGGCTTTTTTGATAAAAAAAAAAAAAAGTTGAATCCAATCAGTAAATAATAAATCATAATCACAGATACATAGTACTTTATTCTTTACAGATTACAGGTTGCTTATTTCCAATATAACCTGTAACCTAACATAGGAGTGAACTTTCTACCTATGTCAGAAATAGACAATCTGTAATCTCCAGATGTTTTGGACATATTGAATGGAGTTGACTCAAACTGGAGATCAAAGAGCAAGGGGCAGCTGTGGCCAGGTGAGGTTCATCTTGCACCCTTTTCTCAATTGATAGGGCCCTCAGACAGTTACTGATGCCATAGCCAACTCCCAATAGGACTGTTGCAATATGCTCTACATCAGGCTGCCCTTGAAGAACACCCAGAAGTTACAGCTGGTTCAAAATGCAGCAGTATGGACAGTAGCAGGCACCTTTTGGTATGTCCATGTGTCACCACTGCTACACGGGCTGCCCTGGTTGCCGGTCGGTTTCCAAGTGCAATTCAAGGTGCAAGTTATTACCTATAAAGCCTTGTATGGCATAGGGCCTGGATATCAGAGGGACTGCTTGTCCCCAGTTGTTTCTGCCTCTCCCCTCCCAGTACATTCCAGCAGTGTGGGTTCTTGTGGGATGGAGGAAACATGCCTTCTCTGTCACAGCCCCCACCCCCTGGAACAGCATCCCCCCAGAGATAAGGACTGCATGCTCTCTCCTAGAATTCCATAAAGCACTTAAAACCTGGCTTGGAGTTGATGTATCTGTGTATTGTTGTATTTCTGGGGCCCCTGTTTTCGTATGGGAACTATTAAGGTAGCTGTGCATTGTCTAAGTTTATTAGTTTGGCACTGTGTAAATGTACAAAGACTTTTAAAGTGCTATTTTCATTTTTTATCACACAGATGTTTCTTGTATGGAACTAGAGCTAGTTTAGATGAAGGGACTGTTGTTGTTTATATTATTATCTAGATGATAGCTTGGTGCCACATAAATATGGAATGGTTATTAATCATTTGGAAATTCTTTCTTTGCTCTATATAGTAGACTTTAAGCTTCTAACACGAAATAAGTCTTTTTTACATCTCCAGCAGACCATGATCTGGTTTCTAGGACAGAAGGCACACATGCATGTACACATGTATATAAACAGATCTTTCCTATGCAGAATTTACTCAGGTAAATCCTATTCAATTCAAAAGGATGCATCCCAAGTAAATATTCATAGGATTATACTGTAGCTTTAACTTGCATTGTATGCTTTAGTGGTCTTCAGGGCTATATTGTCACTCCAGACAAAGCTTACCCAACACTAACTATGTACTTGGAACTATTTAATTGCAATAAATTATCAATTACTCTGGGCAAGAAACCTTGTTTATAAGGAAATATTGGGTTTGGCTTAGTGTGATCTGTGAAATCATCCATTACGTCATAGTGTTATATGTAAGCCAGGACACTATGGCTTATTCAACAAAGGCACACTATTAGAATGCTTTTAATAAACAGTACACTTGAAGGGGTGAATCCAAGTGTCTAAAGTTTAAAACCTGGCCATTTAAACAAGCCATGGGGGTCGGTGATTTTTTTCTCCCTCAAGTTATTGAAGTCAATTACTGTATTTTGCTGTTTGTGCTTTATGCCTGAGTTTTATATAGGTGTTTTTTATTGATTATGTTAAATGATGATATTGTTTCTTCCATAACTTTTTATCCCAGCTTACAGAGGGTCAATAGTATGCTGCTCAGAGTCAGTACTTAACTTAGGCAGGGGTCTTAACAGAACAAAAGTGAATGAACTTTTTCTCAATCAAATCTATCTAAAATCTAGTAAACTTTAACCTAAAATATGAAGCAAGCAGAAATTTGAGAAAGCCCAATTCTGATGTATTGAGCATATTCATTAAAGACAACATTGTCCCTTTTGCTTAAAAACACAATATGTGCAGATGTGAAATGTGGAAATAAAAACAAAGCAAACCCATTATCCTCACTGCTTGCCTGAGAGAATCCAGACATTTGCCTGGTTGAAAATCAATAGACTGTTGGATAGAAAATAAATTTTTGCTTTCATACAGCAATATTATTTTTTTGCAGAAAAGGTACCCAGCTAGAAGGCAGAACTACTTTAAAAAGTTGATTACATATCCATCTATGCTTTTTCTTCTTTCATTCCATCACTTTCTTTCTTCCATTTTCTCTACCATACAGCCCAGATGACTCATTCCCATCAACTGATGATCAATGGATTAATAAAAAGAAAGTTCCTCCTTACACTCCAGTTTGTAACAAGATACCATCCTGCCCATTTTTCCAAATGTAAAAGTTTATATTTCTTCTTTAAGATGTCTCATAAGCATTAGCAGGCACCACCTTCATTTGGCATGTTGTTCTTCTGCATAGTTTGCTAGTGATACCTTCAAAGGAGAAACCCATAGCGTTGACTCCAATATGTTCCTACTTATTAAGCTATTCTTTCTAGGATGTGGTTTGGAATATATATGAGTTCATCACAGATTCACTATTCTAGGTGACTAACATACCATACTTTAAAGATCAGGGGGTGGCAGAGGTTGATTTTTTTCCCTGTATATTTCCTCTTCACTAAAACATTCAGAACAGTCACAAATGCATTCAGCATTACTAATGCAATCCCAAAATAAATCATATGTAGAATTTCCAGTTCAGCAAACAGGATGTACAAAACATACTGTCATCCTTCTAGCTGGTGTCTAATAGTTCTATTAACATTATGTAGTGAAATTATAATTGTTGCCTGAGCAATATACTTTTTCAAAAAGAATATAACTATTAGAAAATTTATATCTATTTTATTGAATTTAACAAATTAACAAAGATGGCAATTTTATGATGTTCCACTAGAATTCCAATAGATTTATTCCAGTTTGGAACATTATAGAACAAAGCTCAATCAATTTGCACTGTTATCTGGGGAAGTGAACTTTCCCTACTTCATTTCACCATGTTTTCTGAGTTTTATTCCATATAAGGACTTACATGTTATTCTCAAAACAAAATTGAATGCGGTTGCTATGAAACTTTGAGTATTATATTTGATATGTTATGCTGACCATGGGTTTTTTAGATTTATCTTCCTTATTCAGTCCAGTCCTTCCACTTCCAGATATAAAATACAATGTACCAGTAACTTGTCTTATGCAAGTCCCCCTTAAATGAATGGGAACAGAACAAGATTATGTTTGTGTATTGTGAATCTACGAGACAACTGCAAAGGGTAAGAGAAGGGAAATCATGTAATTAGCTGTTAACAGAAATATTTAGCAAATATTTCAGTGTTAACATATGGAATTTTTTTTTAGAAATTGAAAAAAAAATCTCTATACCAACTTGTCCTTTCCAGTTCACTGAAGTAATATTGTCTTGGCACAGAGATGTCATTACTGCACATGTTTAGCATTCCATTTTCTTAACTATTAACTAAAAATTGCCTTGACTGGTGGGGGAGGGGGAAGCTGACATGTTTTGGCATCAATCCAATACATTATTGAGTGCAATAGGTTACCAAGCATGTATAAAGAACATTCAAATATTTGAATCAATGCACCTTTCTCTTGGGCAAGGTACTTTTGCGCCACTAACCATTTTTTTCTGGTCTATCGGAAAGTCATACCTTGTCCAAATCTATGCAACTTGAATAGCTTTTGACGTTTTGTAATTCAAACAATGTATTTAGGTCAGAGCCCTATTTTGTAAAACACAGTGCACACCGATAATACTAAGATCCAACTTAAATATTCCATAGCAAGTCACTGTATTATTTTCTTTACATTATTTGCTGCTTTGAAAGGACAGCATTTGGACATCAGGTTGGGGTTGTCACTAAAATGTACAATTATATAAGTGTATCCACGAAAGTGTACTGTATGTTGCAAAGATACATGGCTTTATTTATATACTATTTAGCACACCAAATGTGAGAAGACTGCAGCATTTAAAAGACAAGCAATATTGACAAATGTATGACTTCTATCTCCATAGCTACAGTGGTACTTTGAAATTTGTGAACCCTTTCGCATTTTCAATATTTCTGCATATTTCATTTATTTATATTTTACATTTGTCACTGCCCATCTCACTGCATCTGACCTAAAACATCTGTTCTCCACACAAGTCCTAAAACTAGATACAGGTAGTCCTCGTTTAGCAACCACAATTGGGACTGGCAACTCAGTTGCTAAGTGATGCAGTTGCTAAGTGGAATATCACATGATTGTGACTGCATCTACGATTTTACTTCAGCTTGCTAAGTGGAATATCACGTGATTGTGACTGCATCTACGATTTTACTTCAGCTTCCGCTTTTCCACACTGCCCATTGGGATAATTAGCAAGAAGGGAATTAATAGTTGTATTTACATTCATTGGAGTGGAAGGGATTGCAAGAGAAAAAGCAGGCATACAATGAAATACACATCGAAAAGAATGTGTTACCACTGGCTGTTTGCCTAGCATGCTCCTGGCTCTCAGCCCCTGTAGTTTTGTACCTCAATAAATCAACAAATATGTTTTGGCTCAGTTTTTTAACTGTGTTCTCTTTATCTAGTTCTGGACTTCAGTGGAGAATAGATCATGTTTAAGGTTATATTTATGCAGAAATATTTAAAATTCAAAAGGGTTCATAAATTTTTAGGCACCACTGTATAGTCACCCAAACATCTGTGTAGCCTGTCACCTTTGTAGCCTAAGGGATAATCTGGATAATAATGTTTCTAATTTAGGTGAAAGTTGCATTGCATGTAGGACTCTTTATCAAACATTCTCTGCAGAGATAAATGTTATAGAAAGACAGAAGATTAATACTGTCATGTACTACTGGCTATACATTCATACAAGATGCAGAAAGCAAGGCATGAGCTAAAAGTTCAGAGTTCCAATTATAACTGAATTTAAACAACTTATTGCTTTCTTGTACAGAGGCTTGACTTAGCAAATGGTGGTGGTGAAGTTAAAAATTATAAAAATCATAATGAAAAAATTAACAATGTGAAATAGTACCAAATTCTACCCTTTCTATAGAACAGAATAAACTGCCCAAGACAACAGGAAGATGTATGTGCTTGATCTGAAACTTTTTAGCACTATCCACGAAGCCATTTTAACATAGTGGTCATTCTACATTAATTCATTTGGTATACCCCAGTTAGAAGTACTCCGAAACCATTTTCTTTCTTTTTGCCAAGGATGATGTTTTTGTTTCAAACTGTATCTATTCTGACAATTTAAACAATGGCAGAAAGATATATATGTTTGTATGGCAAGGGAAAATACCAAGAGTTAAATATAAAATACTTCAAGATGCAAAGGAATGAGGATTGGGACTGCCTGAGTTGAAACTGTATTTTGCAGTGTGTTGCTTAGTTTGGATGAAAGTGTGTGTTTTGCTGAGAAATAAAAGAATTTTAGAATTAGAGGAGCGCAATTTGAGGTTTAGATGGCATAGTTTTCCATGGCACAATAAAGTTAAGGTTAATATATATTTTAAGAATCATTATATTAGAAGTGCCATATTGAGAATATGGAACAGTTATAACCCAGATTGTGTCCAAAAATGCCTTTATGTGTCTCAGCACAAGAAGCATTTTACTGGAAAGAAACAGTAGATAAAGAAAAATGGTTAACTTATCAAGAGTTGTTAGAACAGGAACATGAAGAATATAAGATGAAATCAAGAGCAATTGGCTACAGAGAGATTTAGTTTTCAATAGTTTTTGTATGCACAGTTAAGAGAAAGATATAAGGTAGATAATAGAACATTTGGAATTGAGCAGCAGAAGACAGAATTTGAACTATGTACAAATGATGAACATGTAATTGCTAAAATGTATACTTTATTAAAATTTGAAATGGAAGAACAAGTGAAAGGCTGTATGATAAAACGGGCTAAGAACTTTGGATACAGTATACTCATGGAACAGTGGGAAAATATGTGGTTAAAAGAACTGAAATTTACATTATTTCATAATCTGAAAGAGAATTTCTATAAGATGATTGGTATGACTCCAGAAAAATTGTCTAGAATGTATATTTCAAATTTATGTTAGAAATGTGGACAATATGGTCATTTTATCATTTGAAATTTCTGGGTTCAAATACATATGATACAAAGAATTTTAAAGATCAGCATTCAGTTGAAACCAGAACTTTTCTTGCTGGGATTAACGGACAGCCAATTAGAAAAGAGCCATGGAAGATTATTTTTATATGATTACTGCTGCAAGACTTATATGTGCAAGAATGGAAAGACTCTGAAAATACCCACAATGGAGGAATGGTTGAAGATGACAGAACTAGCAGAGATGGCAAAAATAACATCTTTGATTAAAGATCAACTACATTTATCAGTGACTGGAAACCCCTTCTAGACTTTTTGCTGAAAAAAGAGAAAAATGAATTTCTGATTTGTGGGTTTGAAGATTAGAAAGGATAGCTTATGGCAAAGAAATTATGATGTAACTTTAGAGAGGGCAAAATATAAATGTATATTTATAACCGCTGTCAAGATTGGAAGCAGCTTCTTTATAATCTTTCCTTTTTCTTTTCTTCTTTTCCGCTTTTCTATCTTCTTTTTTCACTATTTACTATTTTTATTATTGTTCTTTTCTTTTATGGTTTTTACTTTATTAAAAATTTCTTTCATTATATATCCATTTTATTTCTATTTAATAAATTAAATCCAATTTTAAAGTTCTGTAAAATAACAAATACAATAAAAGCAAAATAATATCCATCACAAACCCTTAGCATCTCATTTTCCAAAGGAAATGTTTAGTTCTTTTCTGAACAAATAGATAATTACAACTTGGCTGTTTCAGGAGAGGAATTCCACCAACAAAATGCCTCATTCACATAAGCTCAACTTACTGTCTTGCACACTTTCTCAGATACTCGAAACAGGCCTTTTCTGAAAATTAAAATGCACCATTGAGTTAAGCTCCTCCCCTTTTAAAAATAGGATTCAGTTGTTGTGCTTATTAAATCAGAGCATACACTCAGGATCTCATAAAACGTAAACTTCTGTTAAGTGGATTTCAAGTATCCCCACCTGCTTAAGGGAAACACCATACTGGATCAAACCAAAATTCTTACTCTGGCTTTTTTTTTTTTTTTGCCAAGAGTCCCTACTATCAATAACTGCTGTTTGTTGTCTCGAAAGAGGACTTCATCTAATGATCCTTTGTTTGATATTTATTACTCATCCGACATATACAGACACTCTAAACATAAGGAAAATAATCAACAGGCATACAAAAAAAAAGACTGCATGGTTAAATTTGCTCAGCAGTGATAACAATTGAGTCTGATTTGCAGATCACGTTAATGCAAAAATGAAGCTGTTGCCTTTTAAACTAACTTGTCCATTTTTCTACCATTCAGTTCATCAAAATGAGGATATGTATGAACATCACATACATCCTCACTTTATTTTGTGTACAAAATATTCCATTATTACATCTAAAATCTTAAAGAGCAAATTCCCATAAAATGCAGATGATACTGGATTTATGATACAAGATTGCTTTCAGCTGTAAGATTTTTAAATTACATGGAAAATATGTAATATTCCATGTAAAAATAACTTTTTACCACTTAAATTACATGCAGTTGAAAGCTATACAATGCAGCTGAATTCTAGATAAATTCAATCTGACTGGATGTTGACAATTGAAAAATACATGCCCTGGGGATCTGAGTAAATTGAAAATAAAGGTACTTGCTTGAATTAAGAAAAAGTTCAAATATCTTATTATAGGAAGATTTATCTTGAGAGAAGGAACAAGACTAATGTTACTTATTTTCCACATTTTCAGACCAACAGCTCCCCCATCACTCAACTGGATCCAAAATTAGTTCCATAAAAGGCAATCCACTGAAATAAATGAGACCTCAGTTAAGAGTATGAGTAACACAAACCCATTGATTTTAATGAATATATACTAAAAGTAGCTAATTCTCAATCTAAACTTTTAGCTGTTTTTCAAAATCTCTCTTCTAAAATTAATTACTCTTAAATACTTTATGTTTTAATATTGCATTGTGGTCATCCATTCCTGCATACAAGCATGACACATTATATTAATATGGTTGATGCCCTTTTGCTCAGACACCATAGATCATGCTGGTTGATCATATGCTTTGAATGCAGAAAATCCAGCCTCAATCCTTTTCACTGGAGATACCTGATGGGAACAACCTCTGCCTGAGACTCCAGAGGAGCAGAGTACATGGTTAGAACAGCAAAGTGAATACGGAGCAGTTTTATAGTATTCAAACTGATTTAAATCCAGACAATTCAAAAACTAAACATGTAAACAGTCCAGTTCCATCAGAATAAAAACTGACATTTTTTTGGTAATATGAATAATTTGCAATACATTTTGCAATAGCTGTTGCAATCTATGTATATGTTCCAGCATCAATTTTTATTAAAGATAGAAAGCAGAAGTACAAGTGAATACAATGTGGGACATGCATGCATAATGTTACATTTTAGTGCTGCCATAATTAAACTCAAGAGAGCATGTTAAATAGAACATATACATACTTCTATGAAATACCAATGTGTAGTACCACTGAAAAATATTAAATTGGATGTTTTAAAAATGTATGCCAGTTTACAAATAAAAAAAAAATCATAATGCACCCATTTAACTCCTTGGCAAAACACACTAAACTGATAAACTGTGATTGACAAGTTTTTAAAGTGCTGTACTTGATACACTGATCTCATCTAAGAGTGTGCAAAAGGCTATCTGCTTAAGCATACAATAAGTTCCTTCACACTTTTGAATGTTAACGCTGGTCATATTGCCAGGTATGTTAATTTTGGAACAGATCTTCTACATTTAATTCAGTCAAATAATACTACAGAACTATGTCCCATTATCATTTAAGTATTCAGTCTTCAAATTGCACTCTGTTCTCAATATATACAGAGAATTTTGAAGTTAGTGAGTTTTAAGGATACTAAAATGCATCAGATAAGTTATATTGCAATGTATAGAAATTGGCACCAGAACAAAAAATGAGGATTATATTCGTGTACTCCCAAATTGAAGGAGTCCTTATGAATTGATTTCTGTGTCCATAAGAAACAGGGTGCAAATAATAGCTTTTAAAGATAATGTAGACATAGATTCTTTTACAAAGTAAGTGATGTTAAATTTGCTACAAGAAATTTCATCTCAAGATTTACTGTAGATATGGAGACTAGAACTTTTTTCCTTACAAGGAAAGTATTAATTTTAGCACTGTCTAGAAAAAGACTAAAAAGTGACATGAGAAACTGTTTGGATTATGACACATGGTTCTATTAGCAGTCATCCAATGTAGTTTATAGCCACTTTAAAATAGGAGAGAAAATCATAATGTTTTAGTATTAGAACCCACTACCGCAAAGTATGTTTACCAACTTTTTTAATAGCTATCAAGGATGAAAAGTAATCTGAATCTTCAAGTACATGGTAACATCTCTCATAAGTAGATGCTTGAACAAAAGGAGATGATAACCTCTGTTATGTTCAAATTTACAAACTTTCAGACTCCAGTAACAACCAGTTAGATGAAACAAATATCAGATTACATGTTTTCTTCTGAATTCACAAGGCAGTTTTTTATTTTATATATTTTAATTCTCAAATGCACTGACCTGCAACTAATGATCTGTGTGTGTGTGTGTAAAGACATACTTATGACATAACAATAGTTCAATAAAAACAAGTTGTTCTGTATTTTTAAAATTATATTAAAAATTGTAATACTGATAGTAAACTAGGTGTCTTAATTTTACTTTGTAAAATTGTCTGCAGTGAACTAGTGTGATTTAAACCCATGTCAAGTGTCTCCAGACAAACCTTAAAACAAAAATGCAAAAGAGTACATACTCTAAAACTAAAAATATTTAATAGAAAACAATATACAAAATAAGCTTCCCTTAGCACCTTTGTTTAAATGGAATATAAACAGGTCAGCTTCTCGTCACCTGTATGATAGGTGCATTTAATCAATTCTAAAGCAAACAAAGTTAGATCAGTATCTGGGTTCATCTGTAATTTCAGCCAGTCTGTATTTAATATAATTGTATTTAATTAATATATTCAAATTTGAGAATACTTTACATCTTTTCTTCAAAATAATCTGAAAGTCCTACTAATTTTAATGTTTTTCCAAGTAAATTTAGATACATGGTTACAGATTAAATGCTTAATATCTAAAACACTTCCGGGTTTTGTATAAATTGCACCTTATTTTTCAAACCATTTTTGGCAAATAACCCTGTAAAAAAATTACTGGAAGAGGTTTAACAAAAAATATCTTAAACAGCTGAGAGTAATCTCCAGTGTCTACTTATGTCCAAGTATATATGTACAGGATTTTAAGGTCAACTAACCTGACTTTAAAGAGATTAGTACCAATATTAATTGTAAAATATTTTCATTTGCTATACTCTTAATTCCCATTATTTAAAGCAGAACTTTAAATAAATTACTATAATTTAATATTCTTATCTAATGTCCCTTTTGGCCAATAAAAGCATGCAGCTTAGTGAGTTTGGTAACACTTTCCTATAGTAAGTACAATTGCAGTTGGTCTGTTTAAGGCTTTTGGCTTTAATCTTCTTAACTGAGTTACCCTTAATATCTCTAACTAACTAGAGTTAGTTGTGATTTGAGTTGCAACTTAACACACTTTCCTGGGAGTCCATTCCTTTGGGATTGACTTCTTCTGAGCAGACATGCATAGGATTGCCTTTCATCTTCTATGAACTTAAAATCAACAGCACTTTAGCAATTAATGTTTTCCATTTAAGATCCACAACTACGTTTAGATTATTTTAGCCCACCATATATGGGGCAATGAGTGATTGCTGATTTCTTTGATGTTTCTAGATTTGAGAACTTTCACCTCAATATATACAAGCTGAAACTATGAAGAAATACAACTCAAAAATATCTGACTCAAATGAGTCTTTAAACTGTATTGAGTCAGTGTTACAAGTCACTGAAGAAATCTAGAACACCCTAAGTACAGCATGCCAGTCTTTGTCAGTGGCAAATAAGGATATGCAAATCACACTGGATTCAATTCAAATCTCTGAATTGATTTTAAAAGTGCATTTTCACACTGACTGTCAGATCTCTGAATTGGGTCCAAATCTTTAACATTTCAGATCACTCTGGATTTTCAAATCAAATCTGAATACTGAAAATTTACACAGCCCAGTTGTAATCACATTCAATTATCTCAGCCTTCCTGACTCACCTATGTTTCACATCTTTAAAAAACTGTTTGTTTTTTTTTAATGGGAACCTGACACACTGCAAAGCAATATGCCATGATAAGCTTTCTTAAAATTTTATTTAAAATGATGTGCTGCTACAGCATAGTTCTTACTTTTGGAGGATGTCTACCTGCCTAGAAAAACAAACAAACAATTTAAGCACACATTATATGGAATACTGGGGGAGGGGGGAGGACTGGTGCATGTATGTGTCACTTAACTCAGGTAAATTGGTGCTTTGTAACAAGTTATATTCCCCATAGCTACCATTTTGTATATTGGAGAACCCCTCCCTGGCGGCCATTCTACAAATGTACCCACATGTTCTCAACATTCCAAATACATCCATAACCCCACGAAGTTGGGGATCCCTGCAGTAAGGCATAAATTAGTTGAGATATGTCACCCAGCCTATGCCTGTTTGAAATTTCATAGGTCACATTATATTAAAAATAAATGGGGGAAGCAGTTAACCATACATATATTTGGGGCCTTAAAAAGATACAAACAAGTCCTTTGGTGCAAGGAAAATTAGATGTTTTGATCCAAATTATTGTGTCTGCTCAACTGTGGTTGCACAATACCACTCATTTCCTAATACCTATGTCATTAATAGCAACTAATACTGCTATAGCACTGCCATTTTCTGATAATTTGAGTTATTTCTAAGTCAGCACGCATAAAGTCAGTTTCGATCACCACATACCAACATGACCATCTCACACATCATTTTAATTTCCCCCTTTCTCTCAAATGCTAAACCCTTTCCTTTTAAATTTACTAGTAAGTTACTTTTAATTCAAATAGCCTCAAAAATAAATTTTCTATTGCCTACAAAGGCCCCTCAGATTAAGTGTAACTTCTCTACCACCACCACATGCAAACCATGATTATTCATGAAACATGTCTTATTAGCAAACAGAATTTCAGTAAACCAAGTTATTTAGCCTGCCAAAACATAACACTTGATATAGTGTCAATACCAAAGCAGCCCCAAAGAACCTTTTTATATATACACACATATAAAGCTTACAGCAGTGAATGAGTTATTCAGTTCAGAGCTACAGCAGTGAAAGGATGTGTCACTTAAGCTACGTGATGAATCAGGCATTAAATCAGAGTGCAATGCTTTCCAATAGCAACTACTTATTTATAGTTTGTGATTCTGGATGCAGGTCACTAAGTTTTGTTCTTAATGTGAAGCACCAGCTCACTTGGCAGCAATGTACAATAAGAGCAACCTAGAGTCTCCTCCCTTCCTCCACCTCCAACATATCCACATCTGAGGGGTTTTTTCCTATGTTAAATATACTGCTTTCAAGGGGAATCAACTGAGAGTTATCAGGGACAGTGCCATACTTAGAAAAGCAGATAATTAACTTGGAAACTTACCACTCTGCCCCTCAAGGTTTGACATTAAATATAACAATTTGATGTTATGAACCAGGCTCCCCTTGAAATATTACAGCTGCAATATATTATTTATCCATATGATGAATATAATGATTCATATTGCTGGAATTTGTTACAATTTCAGTAATTCTGAAGGCCCTATTACTTATGCATATCAACACCCCAACAGATCATACCATTTAAAAATATAATGCATACTGATGAATTAGGCACTATGGAAATATGCAAACTTATTAATAACTTTACCTTCTAAGACTGCTGAAGATGAAACCTACATCCCTTATTTTTACACATAAGGTTTTCCAAATCAGCAATTTCAAATAAAACAGCTTTGGGATGACTGCTTGAAGTTACAAAAACATACACAACATTTCAAGTGAACAAAATTGAGATGCAGGTAATCTTGCCAGATTTGAATGGAACCAACTTAACTATTTGAGAGATTCCAGAATCAAGAATCCAATAACGGAGCTGAGATTTTTATTCCATCAGTGATTCTAAAATCCTACATGCAGGTCTAGCTAGCTACAGCAATGTATATATTCAGTTGTGTTAGAAGAATTCCTTCAGCAGCTGCTCAGATTTTTTTTCAAGAGTTGATACAGCTGTTGGTATCAGTTGCTATCTCTAGTTCTTAGATGTGCAAAAGAATGCTCCAAGATCCTTGGAAAATATGACACCACTGCACGCACTCTTGTAAACATTTTACACTATCAACTGCAAACCTGTGCATATTGGCTATAATTAAATTTAGGGCTTTCAAACTTTGAATAGATCTGTAACATTACATATAGCTTATTTAAAAACCTGGAGGCTTGTTCTGGATCAGTGAGGTAGTAGATATGACCAACCTCACAGAAAATTCACACTTCTCCAAAGTTGGTGTGTCCCGTCTCCTTGGCATGTTCTCTGGCTTCCACTTGCCCTGTTAATCCTTTCTGACAAACCATACATCTCAATGTAAACCGATTTACATCAGTAAACTGTCTTTTTCTTCTGGCTTCATCTGCTAACTCCAAAGCCTGTGCAAGGACAACGTCATCAGTTGTGGAAAAAATTGTCTGGGGAGGAATGTCTGAGCTGGGGATTTTACGCTCAAGTGGATCATAATGAATACCATCATAAATTAAAAGCACCCGTTTAGCATAGCCAGCATCTTCCCCAAAACGATCAATTCTGACTGTCTGAGTGTCAACTACACAAATTTCACACTGATAGAATTTAGACAAAATAGAAACCTCAATTGCACCTCCCCATGTATCTTCTCTTCTGATCCATTCACAGTATTCCTGATTACTTTTCCCTAGGACTGCCTCACTATAGGATTCCAAGTCACTTGCTACAATTTGGGCAATGAGATTTCTCATTTCTGGGGCACAGCCTGGATCATAAACCCCACCTTCTACTACATAATATATGCTGGTAAAAAGACATGAGTTGTCAGCTGGAACAACCTTTCGGGCAAGCACAGGGACAGCTTCTCTAACTGAATTAGGAACAGTCCGCTTTGTAACTATAGATGAATCAGTCTTGGGCTTGGTTGCATCTTCTTCAACTATTAAAGTATCACCTGTCAAGAAAAAACAGAACAAAGCAATAACATGAATATTTAGCACAGCAATAAGAAACATTATATTACAGCTCAATCATAGTTCTTTCAGATACATCTCTTCCGCAGTATGTCATACTGCTATATTCCCTTTGCTGCAGTATTTAATGATATGAACACTACAAAATTATTCATGTGTAACTAGATATAATTCAGGTGTGATCATTAAAATAGAGATAGTTGGAGTCAAACAATAGAAAATTTCTTTGTAAGGCTTCCAGAAGGTAGAAAAAAATCTAATGAGTAATTTTTTCATTTCCTTCTGTAGCCAATAGATATATTGTAAATAAGGAATACATCTTACAGAATTTCAGAACACAAGAAATTTCTTTACCAAATTCTACCTAGCCCATTCCACCATGAAAAAATACCTGTGACATGAACAAGAAGTTATTCAGTTAATCTAGACAGCACATTTTCCATATTAAAAATTTCACAATCATTAGAAACGTGCAGGAGACTGTAAGTTACACCAATCCTCTTGCCTCCCAAAGACAGGGAAGCCATGTTTCACACAAAAGCAAAATTTCAAAATGTAATTGATGGGTGTTGCTAAACGTAGGCAATTATAGGATATCAAAATATTCGTGTCATGGCTTTGCAATTTCCTGTTCTAATTAGGAAAAAAGATGCAATCTTAAAAATGGCTTTCCTCTTGAGAAGCACATCTTTAAATAAATCTGTAAAAAAGAGGATTACTGCCAAGCAGAAGGGCTATTTTTCTAATGGAAAATATATTTAGCAATCAGTTAGTATTTATGTACAGGGTTTGTTTTTTATACTTGATTTTTAATGGATTAATTTATTTTTATTATTTATGGGGTATTTTTTAATTGTTGATGGGGTTTTTGATTTTAACTGTGAGCTGCCCAGAGTCACCCGCTGGGGGGAGATGGGCAGCATACAAATAAAATAAATAAATAAAATTATCATCACCAGTGCTGACCCTGCATTCAACACATATCAACTGCAAGCCAGCATAAGGAAAACGAGATATCTACTGACTTAAAATAGATTCTCCATATCTCTATGTATTCTACATTTTTTCCTCCTTTTTTATTATAAGATCACCACTCACTCTGCCTTTCATCCATAAAACAGCGACCAGTAAACTGGACTGAAAGGATTTCATCCCATGACTGTCTTGTAACTGGTCCTGATTCGACTTCCAAAAGCACAACAGGCGCGCCACACGCGGAGCAGGACCCAAAGCCATTTCCAGATCTCCCCACTAGAGAGGCACCCTGATGGGAGGAGAGGCCCAGAGTTCGCCGGGAGCGGCCTAAGCGCCCCGGACAAGCCCCTCCACTTACCCGAGTGAATGCCCAGCTCTCCGAGGCGCTGCTCTCCATCGCTGAGGTCGAGGCCCGAGGGGGGGAAGCCGAGCAGCAGGCGCTGGGCCTGGATGGGGACACCGGTGAGGGCAGCGATCACGGCCTGTAGTTCGTGCAGACGGGAATGTGCCGTGAGGCCGGGAAGCGGAAAGGAGCCACTCCGCGCTTTACAACGCAGCCGCAACATGATCGCCGCCAGATCTGTAGAACTCCTCCCGGCGTCGGCGGTGGCCGGGTTTCATTTAACTCCCCCCCCCCGCAGCAAAATGGCTGCAACTACCGGCAGCCAGGCAACCCTCGTGTCCCTTTCCTTTGGACTTCCTATTGGTCGCTTCCACATCTTCCTGACATGCACAATTGCCTCAGTGGCCAATCAGAACTGAGGGCGGACTCTCAAAGCAAGATCGGGAAAAACATCCGTTGGGGCTGTTGCAACCCTCTTTTCTCAGCACGCTTGCGCGGGAAACTGGCGTTCGTGCTGTGACGCCATCCTGGCTCCGTCTCTGCCCACCCACTTTCCTGAAGCTTTACTGCTTGGTAACTACAGCTGCTGCTGAGAGCGGCGAGGCTCTTTGCGCATGCGTAAAATTAAAGCCTCCTTCCAATGGCACTTGACTTCTAGTGGTTGCATGAAGGTGTGGGTACATCTCTCTTTGCAACAGTACGGAAATGATTCGCAATGTCTTCTTCCTGGATATTTTCTCAACTCCCCGGCCTAGTCGACCGCTTTGGGCTTTTCTGGTGGTCCCCTTTCCAAGGACAACGGAATAATTTCGCTTTGACTTTGCGGTTCTAAGCATTCAAACCCATGAATAATGTACCTGTCCACATCTGCCTGCTGTCTCCACTGATTGCTTTTTCGGTTCAAACTAGGAAGCCATTATTGCCGAGGGACGGGCGCAAGAGGCGTCAGTGTCGCATAGTCATTAGCGCCATTCGTCACACACACACACACACCTGTATGCTTAAACTCTGGTGGGAGGTAACTTCTCCCGTATACTCTCCTTCCCTTGGAAATACATCTGCAATCTGCGTTCACGCACCCTCGAATATGAATCTGGTTCCCGCTGACCTAGAATTATTTCCCTCTTTTCTGAGTTCCTTTGCGTCACTTGTTCAAATCGCATCTTGGCGTATCCGGCACTGTTCCGTTTGGCCTTCACGCCGCCTGGCAGAGCCGCATCTCCGGAGAGCTGCCATCCTCTTCCCGCCCATCGCCTGGGAGGGGACAAGGTCACCTGCGCCCGGGTACCTGGCCGTGGCTCGGCTGCGCTCCCGGGAGGGATCTTCGGCGGACTGGGTCGGCTCCGCTCGCGCGGCCAGGACTCTGGCCTTGCTGTCCCCGGTGCGGGCGTGCTGAATTCCGCAGGTACGGCTGCAGGGGCCGGGAGACAGGGCTGGAGCCGAACGGACCGAAGCGGGGGTGGCGATCTCGCTCAACAGCCGCCGTGGCATCTCCGCTGCGGTCTTTCGTGCCGCGTTTGAAGGGGGACCCCCCCAACCCAAAGAGAATAAACCTGAAAACGACGATGTAGGGCGTCATTACTCATCCCCTTCGAGGACCGCATTCTTATTGCTTTTCTTATTTAGGCATTTTGCTTCGTATTCACATTAATATTTATGCAAAATTTTATATTGCTTTGTGGGCAAAATAATAATAGTAATAGTAATAACAGTAGTAATAACAGATTCTCTCTTGTGTTGACCTTGACTAAGAACTTTTGCCTAGCCCCAAATCCCAGCAAGAAGGAACCCCACAGACTATGCCTATTGTTTCTTTTCTCTCTGGAAGAGAGTTTAGCATTTCACAACCTCCTTTTTTTCTATGTGTCTTTGGACAGAATTTGGCGATCCAAAACTAAGGAACTGTGTGCCTTGCAGCAATGTCAGCAGATGCTGTTGCCATCCCAGAGCACATAAATGGTAACAGTTACGGCCAAGAAAGCAAGCCTTCAAATCTACGAGTTTCAGAGAAGAAGTGTTGTGAGTATTTGTGATGGTTTTGTGATACTATTTGGAAGGCAGAAAGATTGGCAGAGGATCAGTTTGACCACAATGTTGAATACAGGGGTTATTTCTTTTTTGAGACAAAACTATTGATATTTGGAGACTATGCTACATGGTATATTTAAATCCTGGTTCAACACCTAAAACCATTTGGTCTGGATGCTTTCCATTTTACAAAAGGCTCATGCAGAATAAAGGTTTGCTGTATTAAAACTGGGAGATCCGAGTTTCAATCCATATACAGATCTGACTCCCATGAGTGACTTTCAGCCAGTCATTCATTTAAGCTCACTTATTTCATGGGGTTGATCTGAGAATAAAAGCATCATAGGTGGGATAAGACTCATGTAGGCTGCTAGGTGGAGAGCCAGTTTGGTCTAGTGGTTAAGGAACCAGGCTAGAAACTGGGAGACCGTGAGTTCTAATCCTGCCTCAGGCACAAAGCCAGATCGGTGACCTTGGGCCAGTCACTCTCTCTCAGCCCTAGGAAGCAGGCAATGGCAAACCACTTCTGAAAAACTTTGCCAAGAAAACTGCAGGGACTAGTCCAGGCAGTCACCAGGAGTCAAAAACAGGCTGCTGGGTATGCGATGTTAATGTGTACAGATTCACTGGGAGCATTTTGAAGGAATTATGAAATGGAAACAGAGTAGGAAACATTTACTTGTGAAGCTGCATGTCTCTGGAAGTAGTTAGACCCTGCCTCCCCACTTTGAAGAATTGTGTTCTTTTTGAATACCTGCCAAAGGCTTTGTAATATGCTGTGGAGTTTAAACATCCAGGAGATTTTTAATGATTGTGACAAATGCTTGCATAGTACTTTGATGAAAAGGTATGAATAGCCTCAGTCTCAGGATTCTTTGACTTAGATTTTTCAGGATTTTAATATGTCTTAATTGCTGTAGATCCTCTTGGAAAGAGCTAGGGAAGAAGTAATGTGCTGCACATAAACCATAATGATTTATTAAATCATCATGGTTTATTAGCTGGGTTTAAACCCAGCTAATGTTAGGGGGAATGTCTTCAATTAATTAAACCAAATGTATAGCAGTCTTGCAATTAGATGAAATGCTCACATTTCTTATTGGTAGATTTTTCTGTATTTTGGGGAATTAATACTTTATGTGTCAGTAGTTGGAAATAATTTTAACAGGTTAGCACACATGTTGTTTTTGCTAGCATAGCAATAGTTCTACTAAATTTTATCTTGGATGCTTTTTCTCAAAGAATTTAAATGCCACTAGTTTTACTTGAAGAATCCTATCTTATTCTTGCCAAATTAAGGTGAAAACAAATGCTAAATGAAATACACATTGAATGGACTATTGAAGGAGTTAATCATAGAAGGCTGACATCTTGAATAGCAAAACAATGTAGAGAGTGATTGCCTGATTTCTTTTACTTGGGCTGTGTTTGGCCCCCTCTCCTTGATACTGTTGCTTCCCAGTGGTGAAATGATGTAGATAATCTGAATTCCCATTCCTCCAGCATCAGCTCCGGTAGAATAGATACCTCTCCCTCCCCCTCCAAAGAAAAGTAATTTTTGCTTTCCTCCTACCTTCTCATTACAGGAGAAATAGGGTTAGGATAAGGACCTCTCTTCTCCTTCTGCTCTTTTCTCCTCCCTTCTTTTTCCCATTCCCTAGCTTCCAAATCTATTTACCATCTATAACTTTGTTTTTCTTCTTTTCTTTTAAGGGAAGAGACTTATATCTTTCCTGGAATATAATGTAGATCTTAGCTGCTAACACGTTTGTATTGTGTCATGCTGCATACTGTCTATCTTACGTTGTGCAGCACTGGGAATATCCGGTCTACTGGTGAACATCCATAGCCTTTCCTTTTTGTGAGCTTTGGCTTTTATTGTTACTTTTCTTTTAGTATTTTGAAGGCTGAAATTAGAAACAACAGTTCCCTTTTCAACAAAGCATCCATTTCACCTAAGCTGTTTCTTTCTCAGTTCATTTCACCTAAGCTCTTTCTTAGTTAGTTACTTATGGGTAGATAGTGTCTTATTGTCCTTAATATTTTAGAACTGTAGCACTAAGGCTAAAATTTGATTCACTGATCATCCAAATAAGCCTTTAATAAATCTGTTGTTTCTGACAGTTCTTTGCTCATTTTATTAGTCTACTGATTTTTTACATCAGACACAGGGAAGTTCTTTTGCTGAAGCATGAGCGAAAGGAAGACAAATTTCCCAACAAGATTTCCTTTCTTGCAACTTTCATTAATTACATGTTGGTTTTCATGTAGCTTACAAAATAATGCATCTATTTTTATGTTACTGTCCAATTTCTTTAACCTTGGGAAAATGTTACTATGTCAAATAATTGCTATTTAGAGAAGCTTTTATAAAATGAGCAAGCTTACAGGCAACATTTTATTTTGAGAGACCCAGCTGCACTTCAGGAACCAATAAAGCAGCTTTAGGTTTTAATCAGAAATGAATGTAACCATATTATATCTCTAGAATGTCAACATCCATGTGATTTAGTCCCCCATGAACTATAGCAGGAATGGGCAACCCAGCAACTCTTGACTCAGTCTCCACAAATAATCAGTTTAGATCTCTAGCAAGCTTGCTGGACTGCAAAAAAGGGGATTTGACAGTGGATGGATCAAAAAGGAGATTGTCTGGCCCTGCACAATAATACATACGGGCCATCAATACCTGTCATACAGTTTTCCTAATTTTGCATTATATTAATCAGTGGAGCCTGGAACGTTTGGAGGAATATCCATACTACGTGTCCTTTTGCATATCTGTAATCATGGTCTATTGATCTCTGCTACCCTGGGCATAAACCCAGTACAGATATCTATTGAGAGTCTCAAGTATCTTTTATCCACATACATACCATCACATTATTCCATTTTGCAAAGCAGAGTAAAGAGTAAGAAATAGCAATCAAGACAATTTAAAGACATGAAATAAGAAAAAAGAAAAGGAGACATAGCTAAAACTAGTTTCCACTAACACCATCCACTATCTCTCTCCATATATTTATGATTGTGTAAACCAGTTTGCTTCTATCACATCCATAGACTGCTTATAGCTAAAGAAAAATAGCATGTCTTAATCTAAATTATACTTTTCTCTAAGGGAAGTGGAATAAAAGTGTAACATCAGTCTAAGGGAGATAAAATATCAGTTCACTTTTCTACTTTTGTGTTTTCAGGAGAGATGTTATCCTTTTTCACTCAAGTTTGAAAAACGTATTTCTTTAATTGGAAAATATTTTAAGGCAAAATGCTATATTCAGTTTGAAGCACCTCATCATTGGCTATTTTTATTTGGCTAGCCAAATTCGTTAGCAAGCACTTGAGACTGTAATGCCATAATCTATTGATTGATTCTGGGAAAAGAGCATAATGCCCTTGTCCGTGACTGAAGTATGGACAGAAAATGGAATGTGAAAATTATCAAGAATTTTCTTTTGTTCATCTTTTAGAAACCACTGATTTGCCTTTCCTTTTTTTTTAATAGCATGGGCTTCTTATATGACTAACTCCCCAACTCTGATTGTAATGATTGGTCTTCCTGCAAGAGGCAAGACTTATGTATCCAAGAAATTAACTCGCTACCTCAACTGGATTGGAGTGCCTACAAAAGGTCCTTAAGATTATTGTTGTTATTGTTGCTCTTGTTATTTATAATATATTGATTAAATTAATTAGAAAAATCTGATTCTATCTTTAGTATGCAACTGGGGTAAGCTATATATCTGTAGGTGGCTGACGAACCTCTAGTCGGAGGAATCCAATCTTAGTTGATTGAATAGAACTAAAAGCTGTTCTCTATTGAGCTTTTCCCAGGGTTTGCTGATTATTCTGAACTGCCTTTTCAGCCACAACATCACAATTTTGGCAGCACTGTTACTAGGCCAAACCAAGAGGTTTTAATTAATGCCACTTCAGAAACTCAGTTTCAGCAGATGTCAACATTCTTTTCTCAATGTGACCCTGAAGGTATTCTTTGAGAATCCTATTGAGGATAGCATATCTCTGTGTCAGTTCCTCATTTGGAATACATAATTAATAATAAGAGTATCCTTGCTTCTTATTCATAAACTTCCAAGAAGCACAATATGAATTACGTTCATAGGAGGAGGAGGGGTAGCAGTTGTCATCTGGGAATCTCTGTTGGCCTTCAGGGGCATTGCTCCACAAGTGGCTAGTTGTGAGACCCTGTTCCTGAAGTTGGGCTTGCAAGAACAGTTGGGATTGTTGTTGCTGTACCTGCCTCCCTGCTGTGTAGCATCCTCCCTGCCTGAGCTGCTGGAGGCCATCACAGGGCTGGCAGTGGAGTTCCCCAGACTTAAGGTCCTGGGGGACTTCAGCCTGCCATCCCTAGGGTGTGCCTCAGAGTGGCCCAGGAGTCCATGGTTGGTCCCAGATTATTTGTGACCCGACGCAGGAGAGTGGGCTGACACTGGACTTGGTTTCTTGTCAGAGCAGTGGCAATGTGATCTGAAGGAGGAATTACATCTGTCCCCCTTGTCATGGTCAGATCATAACCTAGTGGCCCTGAGGTTCTCCTATGCTACCCCCCTCCACAGGGAGGTGGGACCTATTGAACTGGTCTACCCATGGTGACTGATGGACCCAGTTGGGTTCCAAAGGGAGTTGGGGATTATAGCCAAGGGTCTGCTGCACAGTCCAGTGGAGGCCTTGGCTGCTGCCTGGAATAAGAAAGCAGCCGAGGCCTTGGACAAGATTGTGCCCATGCAACCTCTCCTAACCCATCGAGCTGGACTCTCCCTGTGGTTCATGGAAGAGTTGAGGGTCTTGAAAAGGATTAAGAAACATCTAGAGTGCCACTGGAGGAAAACGAGGACCAAACACAACCAAACACAAGCTAGAGCCGCAATTAAGGACTACCTTGTGGCAGTAAGAGCAGCGAAACGCCAACATTTCTCTGCTCTTATTGCATCTGCAGAATGCTGCCCAGCAGTCCTGTTTAAGATCACCCAATCCCTTTTGGGGAAGGGGGGCCCAGTGGCCTATTTACAGGGCGATGCAGAGTTTTTTGGGTATCTGGAGGATAAAATCGCTCCTATCTGGTCCCAGTTGGATACCAAGCATGCAGCATGGTCTATAGAGATGCCAGGGTACAGACTTACCCTGTTATCTGGGAACAGTTTGACCCTGTTGAACCTGAGGAAGTGGACAGGCTCCTCTGAACAGTCAATGCCACCACTTGCCAACTAGATCCATGTCCCTCCTGGCTGGTTAAGGCTGCTCAGGAGGTGACATGTGGGTGTGTCCAGGCAATGTTGAATTCATCCTTGAAGGAGGGAGTGTTCCCAGCTGCTTTTAAAGAGGCAGTGGTGCATCCCCTCCTCAAGAAGCCAGTACTGGATCCCACCATATTGGACAATTTTCATCTAGTCTCCCACCTCCCTTTTTTAGGGAAGGTGGTTGAGAAGGTGGTAGCATTGCAGCTCCAGAGGATCCTGGAGGAAACGAATTATCTGGATCACTTCGAGTCAGGTTTCAGGCCTGGAATTGGGATGGAAAAGGCATTGGTCACACTCATGGATGATCTCTGGCAGGAGCAGGATGGA